AAAAATGCAAAATTGCACATGCAAAATTGAGTGCAACGCAAATTTCCCCATGGAGACAATAAAGTTTAATCTAATCTAAAGATGAGTATTAACAGCAGAACAATATTCCAGCAAGTGCAAAAACAAAATGATGATGATTTTTACTTAATCTACGGAAAGAAAATCAGCAATTAGATTTAGGTTTCAGATCTTATTGCACAGATTAGTGTATCTGTTCTTCATACTGTAACACAAATATAACAAGCCGATATCAGCTATTTAATCATCTGTTTGGGTGGACACGCATATGCTGCTTGTTGCTCGGCAACTGTGCTTAAATCAGCGTTACCTGGTGATTGGTGTTACAGTCTCCATGCCACAGTTGTGCATATAAAGCCTGGAAAAGCGCTATAAAAGTTTTGAACCACTTGCTTTTTTACACACATGAAATTTAATGCCAATCATTTGTTAAAACAAATGATTAATTATGGTGTTGGCCCACACTACATCACACCAAGAACTTTAACTCCTCCAGGAAGGCTTTAAACCAAATTTGAGACTGTGTTTATGGGAATTTCTGACCATTTCCTTTTTTTCAAAATCTCATTTGTGAGGCCAGACACTGACGATCAAACGGTGCTCCTGCGTCAGGGCTGTGATCTGAACTCGTTGCAAGAAGAAGCCAAAACAGTTCCTGAAGACTGGAAGCAGAAAATTGCGCAAAAATTGTCTTTTGTGGAAGCATTAAGTGTTCCTTCCAATGAATTCACCTGGGCTGAACCCAACCATTGAACAACAGCCTCGTACCAAAACCCACTCTGCACCAAAGGCTGTGCTTGAAGAATACAGTCAGCCCGGTGTTGTTCTCCTGCTTCCTGCCAAACACACAGTCGTCCACTGGATTGCAGCAAGGAGAAGAACACGTCAGAGGACGCAGCTCCACGTGCCACCACAAAGACAAGCGGCAGCATGCTTTTACACTGGTGGAGCAGGGCTTGGGCACAGCTGCTGACCACTAGAAGCACATTTCATGCTCTGTTTTTCTGCTAATCAGGTCTGAAAATAACTACCGTGTGCCTCACCGTCAACTAACCCTGTTTGGTGATTTTACATGCCCTTTCACTTCAAATATCACTAATAGTTGATGTAGAAGGAATGACTGCATGGAACCACACTGGCATTCACCGAGCACCTCAGAGTGACCCATTCCTTCACAAGAGACTGTAAAGTCCTTCTGCCTCCCTAGGTGTTGATTTTAGAGCTACAGTCCAGAGAGCAGCTTTGAAAGTTATTTAGTGAACATTAGTGAAGACCCAACAACCGTAAAGGCCAAGAATCACACCAGTTACGTCAGGGATAAAGATGTAGAAGAGGCTACGTCATAAAACAACATCCCAAGCACTGACTACCACACTGGATGCTGTTCAGTCTATCGTCTGACAATGGGAACAGTACAGTACAGCTGTAAACCTACCAGGACATGGCTGTCCATCTAAACAGACAGACTGGGCAAGGAGAGCGTCAAACAGAGAGAGCCATAGTGACTCTGGAGGAGAAGAAGCTCTCCTCTACATACAACATGAGATGTCTTATTATGAGAACATATTATGATTAGTTCAATGAAATTAAACTAAAATGTCTTTCTGTTTTCAGATTTTAGAACAAAATTGAATCCTCTATTACAAGAGGAGAACATTGTAGAATGAGGTAAGCCTAGTTTGAAGCTGTTAAAAGCGTCAAACAAGCTTTCAAAAGATAGTTTTGCAATGTTTTTTAAAAGTCATAGCTTTCCACAGCTATGACTGGTATGGAAAAAAACACCAGTCATAGCTGTGCAAGGCTGGTAATAGGTCTGGGTAATATAGCTTAAAAATAATTTTTTTAAAATACAAAATTCACTTTTTTTTCCTTAAAAAAAATCCATAAAATATCTTTAAAAAACTGGCCTTCATTCCAATCATTCCTTCTGTGAGTTGACCAGTCTTCAAAGCTGATATAAATAAAAGATGGCAAAAAAAAAAAGATGACTGTTCTTGGGTGAATGATGGAAATAAAACCATTTTATTCCCAAAAATGAAATCTTCAAAAACAGAAAATTCTATTAATTGATAAAATCGCTTTATTTATCGCCAGGCCCTCTGGTAGAGATGTGGTTCTGCAAAACTTTAGCTATCATAAAAGTGAACGCCATGAGTCAGTTTTCTTCCACAGCACAGTTTATCCACTGCTGTGTGTTGACGTATCAAACAAAAGCCTGGTAAAATACATGGAAGTTAGTCGATGTAATGTGACAAAGTGCAAAAAAAGCTCAAAATGTATCGATGCTTTTCCACTTTACATGGCGGCAACAATACTAATAAAATAAACCCCGAAAGACGGACGTTTGTTTCCTCCCAACAACAGTGCCTGTCTGTAACCAGTCAACTGTGATGAAAACAAATAGTACGTTACGTAATGCTAATTTGGCATGGAGAACTTCACCTAATTTCTGGTAATGGAGCTGAATGATTTGTTCTGTTGTACCTCCTGATTAATCCTCTTAAAAATAAAGTGATTATTCTAATGAGCATGCAAGGCTACCCAATCACGCTTTTTCCAACATTTTAGAGTATTGGTAAATGAGCTGCGGACGGGCGCGCCTCGCTGCCCCTCCTGCAGCTCTGTGTTTTTAGGAGGAACCTGCATAAAGTCCAGCAGCAGCTGTTTTAGTCAGACGCAACCCACGGAGCGAGGGCGGAAACCAAACCGCCCCCCTCCGCCAAATGAACCACAGGTGAGGTAAGCATCTTTGCCGAACGACATGCGCGGACAAACACTCGGGGGCTCAGAAGTGCTAGAGGCTGTTATTCATTATCCACCCAACCGCATTCCAGCACTGGGCAAAAGCCGTTATCACCACCATCGCTCTCAGATCCGAGCAGGAGAGAGGCAGAGACGGATTTAAGCAGGTTCTCGAACAAGATGCCCTCACCTGATGACCCCGGCTCCACCGTTGCACCATTCCCACATGTCCCACTGCTTTACAAATCAGAGAGAGAGAGAGAGAGAGAAAGAGGGGGAGGCAGGCAGGGGAGGCTTCAGAGGCGAGGTAAGAAGCTGTGGGAAGCTGGAGGAGAGTGGGAGAGTGTGAACATTAACACTGAGTGGAAGTGATGGAGAGTGATAAGGGCACCTCCTGCTCCCCCGTTTACAGGAAGCTGGTGGCTAAGGATGTGGCTGATGAGGCTAAAACAAACCCAACGTGGTGCTCCTGTGATTTTTTTGTTGTTGTTTTGTTTTGTTTGCTTTCACTGCAAGGAATATCTTGTCAAAAGGAGGGCAGAAATACGTTCTCCTCACTCTGCTCCTGAAAATCAGGTTTAGACTATTTCTGAGGTCATTTGAAACAACCTGGCCTGCAGCTGCAACACAGGCATCCAGAGCAGAATGAAAGGTCAGCTTTGGTTCACAAATTATGACACAACTCATCCAATACCTTACCTGACTCAAGAGGAAGAGCAGATAGGTGAAACACCAGTTTAATAACGAGTGAAGGAGTGAGAGTCCTGAAACATTGCACATGTACAGACAATACCCGCGCTATGGAGAACCAAAAGTGCCACAATTCAATCATTGAATAAGGTATTTATCTGTAACTAAGTATTCATAAGTTTTTAATCTCTTTATTAAATTGATGTTATATTTACATTTTAAACGCAAATATTTACTTAATAAAAAAAAATAAATCATGTATGTATTTTTTCAAATCTGTCAGCAAATTCTCCAGACACTTCATGCTTAATTTTATGCAGATTGACAAACAAGTGTTTCAGCAGAGCAAGCGTTTTTACTTTTTATTGCTTTGCAGGTACAATACCGTGATGTATGTTGGATCCACTGAATTCAGTCTTATGTTAACTATTTAATTGCGTAAAGACAAGAACACACTCGGGAAAACATAACCGAATCGCATACAAAGTGCTAGCTTAACTTGATCTACATTTGCCATGCTCCGTCTTGGGGGCACCATTGAAATAAAGTTCCTGTGTTTTTCCCTCAGTTACAGTTTAGCGTTTCAGAAAACAGGGACAGTTATGGTTTGAAAGCAAAAGTAGTGCCACACAATTGGCTACCATCCATTCATCTATTAAAACTGTTAAACTATCTGAGCAGATAGCCTGACTAACTAACCAGTTCAAATCCATTTGTTAGACTCGAGTCAGTCTTTAAAGAGAAAAACCTTTGGCAGGTAAAAGCTACAGTAAGTACTGCAGAACTTGGTATGTTTATTCTAAATTTTTTCTTAAGACTAGGACTCAAAACTACAATGACAATAAACAACTGTGGAATATCTTGTAATAGCACCAATTTGAATGATTCATGCTGTCAATTTTAAATGAAACATTCTAATAACATTCTAATAATAATAATAATAATAATAATAATAATAATAATAATAATAGTAACATTCTAATTTTATACAGATCTATACTTAAGGTTATCATATCTCAAAAATGGGTACGTTGTCACAATTAGACATCTTGAATGTTAAACAGCTGTTTATGTGTACTACACAGCATAACTAACTATTTCTGACAATTACAGTTTCGCTAAAGGAGAGGTCCAGAGGCAAACATGAAAAGTAAAGTGAAAAAAGTATATTACAAAATGAAGAGATCAGAAATATTAATAAATATATAAGAATGAATAAATTAATACTAATAAAAATAAGTATTAATGCTTATTCTGCAATTGAATAAAGATCGAGTGAAGATGATCAAAATGATTGAAAATATATAAAACATGAATATGATCAGACACACATTGTGGTTGAAAACCAGTGGATTAATAGCTTTGTAACTACCCTGACTTTGACACAATTAATATTTAAAACCATGCTTTAAATATTGAATTGGCGATTGAATTTCCCAATTAATTATTATAAGACTTACATGAAAGATGACTTAATTAAAAAAAAATGTATTGGATTGTGTCACTTTTGGCTTTCCATACAGGGAGAACAACAAACGTGCTTTTCTCACCTTTTTTAAACTCCTCCAGCATCGCATCCAGCTTGGTGTCATTAAACACAAAATGCAGCGAGTGGCTGTAAAACTTTGTGATGGTTTTGAGCGGCGTGCAATCATCCGGGTCAACGAAGGCCAGGTCCTTGACAAACAGCAGATCCACTATATTGGACCTCTCGCCCTCGAACACCGGGATGCGCGTGTAGCCGCTCCTCATGATCTCGGCCATGGTGTTGAAGTCCAGGATCGTGTCCCCGGGCATCATGAAGCAATCTCTCAGCGGCGTCATGACGTCCTCCACGGTCTTAGTCCGGAGCTCCAGCGCGCCCTGGATGATGTTCAGCTCCTCCTTCACCAGGTCGTTGTAGGGGTCCGTGACGCGCAGCATCTCCAGCAGCTTCTCCCTGTTGTACACGGTGCCGATCTCCTGTCCGAGCAGGTAATCCAGCAGCTTGCTCACCGGGTAGGACGCGGGGAAGGTGAGCAGCATGAAGAACTTGGTGAGGAAGATGGTGTTTGCCCCCACGGCCAGGCCGTGTCTGGAGCAGATGGCCTGCGGCACGATTTCACCGAAGATAACGATCCCGATGGTGGACATGACCACCGCGATGAGCCCGGAGCCAGCGATGTCGTCCAGGAGGATGGTCAGCGTGGTGTTCACCAACACGTTCCCGAGCAGGAGCGAGCAGAGCAGGTAGTTGCCCTGGCTCCGGACCGGCTCGATCTTCTTGGCGTAGTTCTTCTCCCTCTCCGTGCCGCAGTTCTGGACGATCTGGAGCTCCATGGGATCCAGAGCCATGAGCCCCAGGTTCAAGCCGCTGAACATGCCGGACAGGCACAGCAGCATGGAGATGAAGATGACCTGGAGCCAGAAAGGCAGCAGGAACTTTTTCTCCTCCACCACTATCACTTTGGTGTCGTCCCCGTCGTGGTAGATCCAGGTGTTCTCCGTCCACGGGTCGTGCAACCCGGCCACCGCCGGCGTGGAGGTGGCGATGCAAAGGTAGTACGTTTTACTCCTCTCGGTTTTCCGCAGGGGTTTGACCTCAATCTCGACTACTCCGGATGTTTTCCGATTCAATATGATGTTGGGTAATATAATTATATCCGAAGTCCTAATTCCGCAGGGATGCGAGCCGGACGAGTCCTCCCGGCTCTGGTTATCCCCCGAGGAGCTGTCAAAGCCCCCCACCGCCCGGCTCCGCTCGTGTTCCGTGAAGGCAATCTTGGACCAGGTCTCGTTGTTGATGTTCTGCCCGTAGACCCTCAATTTCACCCGAGACCGCTCGCTCACCCGCAGGTAGCCTTTATCCATGAAGGAAATGTCGTCCGTGTCCTCCAGCCGGAGCCCGATGATGACGGTCTCCTCGGAGCCCTCCTTGCCACTTGTCGGGGTGACACAGCAGCCAGTGACAGCTAAGAAAATCATCGCCAAAGCTCGGACCCGGCTAAGTGACGCCATTTTTGCAATGTTGGGTCCAGGGGATAAGGGATCTGCCATATCGATGACCGTTTGGGCAAGCAAGCTCCTGAATGAAAAGGGCTTTGAAAAATCAGAGCCAGTCGGAGTCCGCCTTCATCTCCGCCCAGGGCTGCCGTGACTTGTGCATCGGGACCTGCTCTTTCCCACTACGTGTCCGACACTGAGAAGCAGCCAGCGCAGGCTTACAGGCCAACTCGTGCCTCTCTCTGTGTCCCCAAGACGGGCGACGGGAAGGACCAATCAGGGGCGGCGGCCGAGCCTGGGGGCGGGGCGTCCGCAGCCTCCTTGGCGAATCAGATTCCGGAACAAGTGCAGCTCATCTTTGGAGGCAGAGAGAACTCTCTACCCGTTGACTTTTTAAAGCAGGCTTCTTTATGCACCCTGCACTCGGGGGCACGACTCCTGGCTGATTTAATAAAAAGATAAGCCACATGGGTCAGCGTCAGACTGTTTGTTTCTGGAAGTGGACTTAAGGTAAAGCAAAAATATAATTCAGTTAGAAATTAAAAAACAAATTGTTTTCACAAGCAACTTGCAGAAAAGAGTATCATAAAACAGGAGCATATAAAAAAAATTGAATAATGTAAAAAAAAAAGTTAGTGTGTGCCAACAATTTTACTCTAAAATGCACATATACATATTAAATTAAGTACAGTTTTCACAGACAACACAAGAAGGTAGCACAACAAAATACACCAGTATACAGAACAAAATAGTACAATCACAAATGTATATAAGAAAATCTTAAGTTCAAATCGACTACTTACACACAGTGAGAGATTTCAAGTGTTTATATCTGATTATTCCAATGCTTATGGCTGACAGATTAAAAAAACTTGTATATATATATATATATATATATATATATATATATATATATATATATATATATATATATATATATATATTTTAAACTGAGATTTCAAAGAGTAGAGTATGTTTACACTGTACAATAATGTGTTTTCAGTACTTTGTTGTGGCTCTTTATATATAAAAATTCAACACATTAAAACGCTGTATAGTGACATGGGCTTATAGGTTTGGGTATTTTTAGAAACTTGGAAAATACAGTGCTTATTACACAGACATGTATTGAAAATGAACATATTTTATTACATAATTAAACTAACTGAGCTATACACATTGTATGTCCATATAAACCAACAACAGTTATTTAAAAAAATACATTATAAAACACTTTTGTTGTTAAAGTTTGTTCAAACAGGTACAACTTATTCCTCTTGAGTATTTTAGCTTCAACTTATCCAATTTATTGCTCCATTTAATCTTTTTTTCTGATATTTTTTCAGTTTTTTTAAGAGTCCTTTTAAAGTATTTGATTAAAAAAATCTGATATATTACTATTACTTTTTTTGCTGCTGACATAAACTTAGTTTTTGGGAATTTTTCAGTTAGGCATAAATAATATATTCTATTGTAATTGCCAATTAAAATCTTTTTGTAAAGGTTAATACAACATTCATTAGAACAAGCTAGGTACATGTATGAATGGTATGAAGCCTAGTGATTAAGACAAGTGAACATTACATTATTTTGTAGTTCCCATTTGCATCCACTTCCATTTTTTTCCCTCTGATTTGGGGTTTCAACATCATTACCATCCTTATGTAAGAGAGGAGATTAAGGTGAGCCATGACCAGCACACTCATCCAGGGATGAGTCACTTATTGGTGATTTTTTTTTTTGATAACACAATCATCTTTCAGGCACTGCAAGTAAACATCCTAATCGCACTCATAGAGCAAGTGTTTATATTTCTGCACAGTTCGAAACACATGCAAAAATGCAAGTCTCGTAATCTATTAGTGCTGCTGGCCTCCTGTAGTGTCAAGCAAAACAAATGACGATCATTCATAAGCAGGCATTAATACAGTTTCATTGCATCAGTCGGAAAATCACTCATGCACAGCACGCTGCCGGGCCTGTATTTCCGAGTCCTCTTTGCACAATCATTTGCAGAAGTCAGCAGATTTTGTGCTGTAGCATCCCCCTGTGGCTGAAATGAGGCCTTGGGCTGGCAGACTGAAAGGCCAGTTTTAAGGGATTTACTATGTCAGCCTGCATCAATAATTCAACAGCAATAAAGACATCAGAAGTGTAGAACGTCCGCACACTTACAGACACACACACACACAAGAACCCACCGTGTCCGTTCAAATGTCAGATGTACAACCGTGTCTCAATCACAATGACCAAGCTCGTCGTAATCATTATGCAGCACTGTATTTGGCACACATTTGCAGTCGTGCTGCACGGCTAAGTAGCACTGTGGGATGTTTAGGAAATCACCACTTTCACACCACTCAAACACAGCAAACGACCCCTCAACACCCGGGGTCATGTTCCCTTCAGGGGTCCGGGGGCGTCCGGAGGGCAAACCACATTCGGATACGTCTATAAGCCTCTACAGTGACTGTGTTTCCAATGCAATCAAACATCAGTGACTGTTGGAATGCAACACTCATTTATTATTGATGGATGACTCTTAAGGACTCATTTTCCGTAACAAATAAGTACGTGTATGTGCGCCAAATGACTATAGGAGCTGATAAGATGGCATTCCTTTGGCTGAGAAGAGAACATTCCTTCCTGTTCAAGGTTCCCCGGCATGACTCCACACTCTGGTTATGACTCCGAGACAGCTGCTTGACCTTCTTGCATGTGGATGTGTGCGTATGCAATGTTTCAGTGGGTATGCGAGTGGGAGAGAGAGTGCAGCGTGCGCCTCAGTGCACACATGTGTAGTTGTGACTGTGCGCACAGCAGGGCTCCCTGGGTGTGTCACACACTTCGGATTGATCCCAGACACACACTGACCTCCAGTGGTTCGAAACAAACAAATAAATCGGAGAATTCCTCATGCAGGAATTTAAATATGACACTGACCTTAGGTTGGACGCAACAAGACTCACAGGAGCCACCCGGTGGCAGGAAGCTGAAGTTCACTGCAAAGCTGGAACGGTGTCGAGACGCGTTCTCCATCCACCTTCACTAGTCTACTGAGTCTGGACATATTTACAATCGTGAAGACACAGTGCATGCACCTTGTTTCTTTATCATACAGCATGCAGCATATGCAAACCTTAAACGTGTAATGGTGGTCAATTCGTAAGCAGTCCTCTGGCCTTGCAATCGCTTCACTGAAATCACTTGACAGGTTTTGGTGTTGCCTTGAGAGATACCTTGAAAAGCATCTACAGCAACAGTAAGAGAGTAGGATCCAGAGGAAACGTCCAACACTGATGCTAACCAAAAAGAGCACACAGGTTCATGTCACATTTCCATAAGGAAACAAAAAACAGCGGCTTAAGACTTTCGGGAAAATATTCTTTTGACCGATGAGAGAAAAATGGAACTTTGTCGAAGATTCAAGACTGGTAAAACCAATACGTCATTTCAGAAAAAAATATTATAACTACAAAGTGATGGTCTGAAGCTGAGTGCTGTGATTATTGGAGCCATGAATTCTGCTTTCTTTCCAGAGGAGAATGCCCAGCCATCTGTTCCCACCTTTAAACTCAAGTGAACGTGGGTTTTACAGCAGGATATGACCTAACTCACACAGTCAGGTTGATGCCTTTATAATATCTACCATTATAAAATGGAGTACAATGATCTATATAAAGGTTTAAGAGTGGTCTAAATCCGAAGTGAAAATTAATTTCTTGCTGTGCGCTATAACTTTAGACACAACATTCATACTTCCTTAATAAATTAGGTCAAAGCAAACACAAGAGAAATGGCCAAGGAAGGTAAATGAATGTAACCATGGAGGGCATTTAAACGTACATGAGAATCCATAAAGTCAAGAATCCTTTTGCTTTTGTGTGAAATAAGATTCAGCTTAGCGGTTAAATTAAACGAGCATACAGGGATCCATACAGATTTTTCACTTGTGACCTTTGAGGACACAAACTTTACCAAAAAACACACGAGAGTAGGAGTTTCTCAAGAGGAAAAAATGTTCAGCTAGTCAAAATGTCCTGAAGACAAAATAATGATGGCCAACACTGGATTAAAACTACACTTGTGCCGTCATCACAGATAAAAGATGTTGGTGGGTCTGACACGTATGAAAATTATATCTTGTATGAGAGGGCAACTTACAGGATTCAGTTGTCATCAAATTAAAGCAGATGTTTAGCCATGTATGTGGTATTTTTTTTTCTGTAAAAATACTTGGAACTTTAGTATTTCAGTTAAAATGTAATTTCTTTACTGAATAGCGAAAAGGTTTGAGGATTTTAGCAATTCATTAAAGCCCAGCTAAAAACTAAAACATGCATTTTTAAAATTATCTGTGGAGTTCTGTTTATAAACACCACACAAGTAGTTAAAAAAAACAACTAAAAATACCAAATGTTCACAAATAAAGACAAGATATCCTGAGGACACACAATATTTATTATATTTATTAGATTTATTTATACACAAAGAGTACATGTTACAGGGAAATGTCAACAGGTACAGTTCGGTAAATCATCTCAGAACCTGAGTGGCTGCAGAAACTAGAGCTTCACCTTTCAAAGGTTAAGTAAGGACATGATGGTGTTAGAGCCTGTTGATTAAAAAGAACTGCCAATGCATGTAAAAGAAGAAAAAAAACCTTAACTGTTGCTCTGTGAAGAATAGCAAGTTATTTTATAGTCATCTTTACTCACATTTTTTCTGATTTGAACTATTTTTCCATTATCCTTAATTTAGAAAGTGATTTCAGAAAAGCCAAAAAAGAAGTCCTTTTGTGACATTTCACAGCCATCTCTCTTCTCTTAGAAAACTGTTTAAAGGCACATTTGGAACAGGGAAAGTTTGAAATTTTATTCATATTAAGTGTCTGATCTTAATCTTACTGAAAAAGGACAGTCGCACAGCATAGTGCATGCTGCTGCATTTCTCAGTGCTCGTCCTGTGATCATTTGCAGCAATCAGCAGATTTCGTGCTGCAGCATCCCCCTCGAGTTCCCAACCGAGAGGCCAGGTCGAAAGGATCCACCGTGTCAGCCTGCATCAATAAAAAAACAACAATAAAGACACAAGGACACATGCAATAAACTGGAGAAGTCCTCATGCAAAAACTTAAAAGCATGACACTGACCTTAGGCTTGGCACAACACGGCTCACAGGAGCCCCCTGGTGGCTGGAAAGTGAAGTCTTCTGCGAATCTGGAATGCGTCAGGATGCAAGCCGCTTCTCCGTCCACCTGCACCACTTCATTGGTCTGTATTGAATACAGCCGTTTAAACACGGTGCATTTTTTTTTTTTTTTGCCGTCACAACGCAGGATGTGTACAGACCTTAAAGGTGTAGTGACAGTCAAACTGGAAGATATCCTCTGCCCCAGTGATGCCTCCATTATATATGACCTGGCAGGTCTTGGTTTTGCCTTTGGGGACTTTGAACAGGCGGTACGTGGCAGAAACAAACTTGAAGTCACCTGTATGAACACATGCATGAACCGTCAACGGGGTACAAGTCACTAAATGAAATTCTCTCATGCAAGTGCGCTGTAGTGCGACGTTCCTTACAACTTAAGTTCACCGAAATGCAAAAATGCGCTGAGAGGAAGCGGTTTTGCACAGCCAAAGAAGGTGCAGAAAAGGTGAAAACACAACAAAAGAGCTTTTGCTCATATATAACATGTATAATATAATGAAGTAGAATTGGCTGTTCTACAAAACAAACCTAGCACGTCCTGCAGTTCTTTATTGTCAACGGCGACGACGGTGGCCGTGACCAGCCGTGGCTGACTAAAGCCCACCTCCTCAGCCAGCTGGAGCAGGTCCTTCCACCACAGCGCTCCGCCCAGACATTCACCTGCAAAGAGCATCCAACCTTTATGAGACAGACAACAGAAACTATGGAACAAAGCCTTACTGATACTAGTCAACTACGAAGGTGTGTGAACTGCTGGTTAGCTGACAGCATTGAGAAATCATGCACACATTCAAACCCCAAAATGCTTTTATTGTGACGCTCTGACAGGAAAAAAAATTATTACAATTATTATTAAAAAAAAAAAAGAAATGTTATCTGTGTCAGTTTCATCATAAACAGGCGTCATTAATTTTTAACAGAACTGTTTTTCTATCTCATCAAACTAATGAAAATGTTTTGTTTCATTGTAAATAGAAAAATTGTTTACCCAAAATTTAATTGACACTAAATTCTGATCTTTTCTTTTTTTTAAATACCGATTTTGTTTGATCAAGTGGTGGCAGAGAATATTTGTGACCCACCCCACAGCACTTTGTGATTTTTAATTTCCTCTGTCAGTCTTCCACTGGAGTAGACGTCACTGAAGTACAGCTCACCCCCGTCCTTGAGGAGACACACATTTGCAGAAAATATCGCTACAGCAATCCAACTTCAAACATATAGTGATAAAAAATAAAAAATAAAACAACTGGTAAAAGCATGAAGCTATGCGCACCTTGAGTGCATTGTATGCTTCAGCCAGAACCTGCTTCTTGTCTGGGGAGAGGTTCACTACGCAGTTGGAGCTAAGCAATATCAAAAATCAACAATGTTACAAACAGGATAAAAGAAGAACAAGAAGAAGAAAACCTGATGAAGTAAGGATCGTGTCTTACATGATGATGTCAAACGAGTTTTTTTCCAGACCCGCCTCAGACAAGGCCTCAATGTAGCCATGGACAAAACTCACGTTTGGCTTCTTGTAGCCAAACTCCTTCGTGTGATAATCCATATATTTTCTGGCCACTTCGAGCTTTAACGGAAGAAAAATATCTGGGTTTTCAGGATATATAGGCTGTTTATTCTGAACATTTGTATTTCACATTCAATTCGAGTCAAACGTTTCGCGTTTAAACATTTGTAAAGTTAACATTTAGCCATTTACACTTCTTCTGAACATGCTTACAAAACCTTCTACCCCTAAACGAGACTCAGTTTACCAAATACTGTGCATTTTTTTTCTTCAGTAATTTACACTAAGAATAAATCAAGTAATTTTTCAAACTTGCTACAGACTTTGTGAAGTTGTCCCAATGAATGTCATTTTTAAAGCCAGAAACTATTCCTCTTGAACTCGACAACAGGCTGAGATGTTGTGGTCTGTCTTAATGGCTTCATTCGTAATGTCGTTGCTCCCTACCTGGGCCTCAGTCATGTCAATGCCAGTGACATGACCTTTTTCCCCAACTAGCAAACTTAACATGTAGCAGTCCCTTCCACTCCCAGAGCCCAGGTCCAGAATCCTGCAGCCCTCCAAGGACTCCGGCACCACCAGACCACACCCGTAGTATCTGGTCAGGAGGAATCAGAAACAGATCAATCTCAATGTCGAAAAAGAAAAATGATTAAAAAAAAAATCATCCTCCCCTAAATTACTTGTTAGAGACTTCAGGGTGAACTTTCTTCAGGGCTTCCCGTATGAAGGCTGGGAGAGGCTGAGCTGGAGCCACGCAGGCGCCTGTCTTCAGGTCCGACGTCTTCTGGAGCCTCTTTCCATAATAATCCTGTTTATCATGGAAAAGCTCAAACACTGACGACGGGGTAAACTGCATCCTCCATATAGCTTTATTCCTGATGACGCTGCTGGAAGACTTAATATATTTGCAAATTCTGCTACGATAGCAGCAGCTGCAGTAAAGCTCTTTGTTCTGGTGCCAAATTATATGTAGCGAGCTTTTTTTTTTTTCTTTTTAAGCAACTAGCAAGGGGTTTAGCTAAATATCTTCTTGTTTTGCCCGTTTTGATACTGACTTCAATATGTTGAGACAGGACTACTTGTTTCTCTGATTTTAGTTAATAAAATGGACGTGAAGTTTCAGCTGGTGTGAATTAAAGATGAATTATTCCAGTCGTCAGTGGATTATTTTTTTATCAGTTACCAACAAACGAGGACAAATATGGCTGGAGAATTTACCTTTAAGTCCTCACCTCAATGCTTGGGATTAAACAGTGCTACAGTGCAAACCTGGTATGATTTTAGGTTTCAAAAATATTGAGTGGAGTAGTTTTTTTTTTGTTTTTTTTGTTTTTTTAATGATTGCTGATATAATTAATCAGTGTGTGACATTCTGGGTCTTTCCCTTGCCGACTGCATTTTCAACTTATAAAATTCAATCACCTATCAACTGAATCATAATTACTAAGAACTTTCAAAAACTGAATCATTGAATTAATTCACTTGAGAATTACAGCAGTTGAGTCCCAACACCACTGTTTGACATCACTGCATAAGAAAGGGATGTCAATAAACTTCCATTTATCATCTAAAACTTTTTTTAAATTTAGCCAATTTTAGTGACCTTAAATTAAATTTATAATTGTATGAAGGAGGGGGAATTGACGTCACGTTACCTTGACATCCTCGTGAACGCTGCTGTCAGAGAAATCATTTACAATGGCACGTAAAAAAAAGAATAGTCAATCATTAACTCTCAATGTCAACGTTACAGTCTTGACGGCGACAATAGCTGTATTTGCATAGAATAAACAGGTGGCTATTGTTACGGAAAACTTACAGAATAATTAAAATGTGCAGAGTAACTTAATAAATGTTACTGTGACAATTTTATGTCCCTGTTTTGGACTATATGTGGACATTTAAGTCGGAACACACCTCGCCATGTTAGCTGTAAACTGTCACTTACAAACAGCACGTAGCGGGAAGATTAAGTACTTCTTACCTGTTGTGGTGAGCCATTATCCCGGGTTCCTACAAAATTTAAAGGCTGAATAGGGAACTTGAGTCACGTTTAAAAACAAAGCAGTACGGATTTCACTTCCTGATCGGCTATACCCTCTGCTGGATTATCACAGACCAAAGATTAATCTTTTCTAGACCGTGCTGTAACTTCATAAGGTTACTCCTTTTAAATCATAAAAGAGTTACTATTTATCCAAGTCAGTCAAAAGGATCAGATTAGATGTCAGTAAAAGGGTGCTTTTACACTGTGACTGCAGTGTAGCATAGGAGCCTGTGTATATAAATGTTAATTTAATCTGGATTTTATTGATTTATGCATAATTACTGCCTCAGGAGCTCAGCTTGTAGCTCGTCTGCTCTGTTGTGTTTATAGTCTCTCATCTTCCTCTTGACAATACTCCATAGGTTCTGTAAGAGGGCTTAGGTCAGGATAATTGGCTTGTCAGTCAGTAACAAAGGTACCATACTGATTAAAGCAGGTGCCATTAGTGTGGGCAGGTACCAAGTCCAGGTGGAAGTTGGACTCAGCATATCCATGAGCTTGTCAGCTGAAGAAACCATGAAAACGTCCAGGTAGATGGCTGTGCTTGTCTTTGGACTTCAGAAAACACAGTGGACCATCAGCAGCAGACGACATGGCGCCTCAAGTCATCACTGGCTGTGGAAGCGTCACACTGGACTTTAGATAACATGGATTCTGTGGGGATTCCTCCTCCAGCCTCTGGCACTGCAGTTTCTAAATGAAATTCAGTTTGTTTTGATCTAAATAGAGGGCTTTGTGACAGCAACAGTGCAGCCAGTTTCCTCCTTGGTCAAGGGGAGAGACTTCAGACATTGAGAAGTGGCTTAACACAAAGAGCAGCTATTGTTCTTGATAGGCCTATGTGTGGTGGCTCACTAAGCTCTGATTTCAGCGTTTTTGGGATCAAAAATGGTTCTTCTGTAGTTTCTGAAAGTGGTTGTCCAAACATTTCCCCCATTCACTCAAGTCATTCATTGTACCTGCACACCCTTGGAGGATCGTACAGAGCCGGTACCCATCTCCGTCCCTCAGTAGACGAGGCTCTTTAAGGGGCGGCACACATGACAAAAAGCCACGCACTCACTCAATCACACCCAGAGAGAACCTATAAAACTATTCAATACATCTTTTATTCACATCTCACAAAGTTGTAAGACACCTCACCAGTAAGTGATGGGGTAAAGACTTGCTTTAGTCTCTCTATATTCATCATTCCTCCACACTAAACTTCCATCACTGATGCCAAACCAAGATGGCAGGAAGTCACCCAGACAACACTGCTTGTAAATTTAGTATATTTATTGAACATACATTCATCTTAGTTGTTGAAATAAATGGCTTATGATCAGAACATTCCCAGAATATGTGCAAAACACACACACACACACTGAAGTCAGAAAAGCATCTTTGGCAGCACTGCCCTGATCTCTGAACAAATACTCATCGTTAGTCCAGCGTACCTTTCACACAACCTCGCAATGCAGGGAGATTTTCTAAAAGAACCCAATGTTAGCCTTAATAGTAAAATCTGTCCATGAAAATAAAGCAAAAGATTTTTTTTTATAAAACAGTATAAAGTAACTATATGGTTCTCCAACCCGCTACAGATGATTGTACACAATTTGCAAATATAAAGTGGTTTTAGGATTTTCTCTCTATTACACTTAAATGAACAGGCAGATATGAAAATAGCTCGTTTTAATAAGACAAAAGTACACAATACTTCATCTGCAGCTCACAAAATACGCTAATATGTAAAGCACTTAAAAGTGTGTCCATGTCGCGATGCATATAACGGTCAATCAGCTTACAGGTAATACAAGAAGGTTTCCCATTGCACTGTAACCCCGCGCTGAAGAATGTGGGGGGGAAATGACCTCCTGCAAGGTGCTTTCAGTATATATATTCATACTAAAATAAATTTGTTTGACCAATTGTTAAAACGTTTGTGCTTCGCAGAGATTGAACGTTGTGTTTTCATGCAGTTGTAATTTAAGTCTTACAAAACATGTTGCATTTTATCGTGGACTCTATGGAAACAGGCAGTTGAACAAAAATAATGAGCTGAATCCTTTGTGAAACAGCTGTGTTTGCTAACCAAAACATTAGCAACATCTTCAATAATAGGGGCTTGGAGGACGATAAGTGTGGAATGTCACTGTTGTGGAATTACGGAAACAACCCTGGAACTTTTCACATCACAACCAGAAATTTGTGTGAATTTCACTGGAATTTTATAATTGTGAAGTTTTACAAATAAAAATCAACCACTAGAAGTTCTGCGTACAGCAGCAGAAGTGGCTCTGAGGAGACCAAAATTAAACCTACTGGGTGGTGGCGGCATCATGCTGAGGGGATGCCTCTGTCCAGTAAGAAACTAAAACCCGGACCTAAATCCGAAGATTTTTGTAAAGTGAAAAAATAAATTCAAGAGTGTGAATACTTTTGAATGGATTTTATATAAGGAGAAACCGACACAACCAGGTTTTAATTGGCTCATCCAGCCCTATTTTAACATACATAAAAGTTCAGATAATTTTCTTCAATTTCATCTCTTTAACTGAACAGTGCAAATGCAAAACATTTAGGAAAAAAAAAACCAGACTAGGATATAATTTTAGTTCTAAACAGTAATGTTACTGACATATTTAACGACATCAGACTGGATGTTGCTCCAAAGATGCAGCACCAAATATTAAGAATAGTTCTCAGTGTTTCTAACAAGGGATTCATTTTTTTCGTTTAACAGCTGGGGAGGGTTGGTAATCTTGTTGAAGTGACTTACAAAAGACATCTTGAGGTTTGCTTGTTGTCATTTCAGTTTTAATCTCTCTGAAGCTCGACATTCTTGATTTGAGTACCTGCTTCTTCAGGGTTCGTCAGTTTCACTAAAGCTTATTGTTCCTCGAGCTTTCACACCGAGTTCTGTTAGGCACCGACTACATACATTCAGCTAAGTTAGGCTGAAATGATCACATTCCAAGTAAATGTTCCTACTACTAACTAACACACACACACACACACACACACACACACACACACACACACACACACCTCTCCATTTAAACATGTTGCGATGGAAACTAATCACAAACCATGCGAAACTAAATGAACACTTCAGCCTTAAAATGTTGGGGTTTGTTTTACTTTGCAAAATATTTTCACTCTTAGAGAAACTGTGCAAAACTGGAAGTGTTCATGCTTTATCTATTTTTTTTAGTTTTGTTTTCTGAACGCAGACAAACTACCGTATCGCTTGTAAGGCTGATAGAGCAACACCAGCAGAAGGCAGAGTGGTTTACAGTTGCTGAAAAAGCACTTTAGAAGCACGACTACCGGGACGCCGTGCAGTCTGCTCCTGCCGTAGACGTTGTGGTATCCTTATGAATGCACCAGTTCACTCGAGGTTTTTCCCGCTGTGCATGTTACACCACCATGTAATGTGCTGCAGCTCTGCAGATTTCCTGCAACTGAAGAGTTCCTGTCCTCATCCTCCCACTGAATCCGTTGCCGAGTCAGTGCGTTGGGTTGAAGGAGAAGGATGACTGCGGAGAGGAGAGCTTTCGCTTGCTGCAGGCTGCTGAAGGGGCTTACACTGCCCCCTACGCAGCCCATGTTACGCTGGTTAAGGCCACTGGGACTAGTACGGGGAAGAGCAAGGTGTCTCCGCCTGTGCGTCGGAGTCATTTTGCTGCTCCCTCATCTGGTTATTTTAAGATGGGCTCATTCGTAAAACAATCCGAAGGTGCCGCTGATGCCTCACAGCGTTTCATCCCTGCGGATCCGGGCTGTGGGCCGCGCCGTCCTGTTCGCTGATGGTGTGGAGGAGAAGGCACGCGGGGGGACCGAGTGAGCCGCCGCCTGCATTCGGAGGTGTCAGCGGGGGCCCGCGCCCGGCCCTCCTCTCCGCCCCTCCCAGCGCCTGCTCCTCCTCTAAGCTCAGGGAGGCTCGATGGCCGCAACTGTCACAGAAGTCGCCGGCATCCTCCTCCTCCTCCCCCTCCTCGTTACCGCCGTCCACGCCACGCCCCAGCAGGCTCTCCTGCTCCTGACCCGTCCCGCCAGCTCCACCGTAACCGCCGCCCCCACGTGTGCCGCACACACACACCTCGATCCCAGAGTCCCCGGTGAATCGCCGCCTCCTCCCATTGGGTAGGCGCTCTTTATCCTCAGTACAACCCTCTGACAGCGACAGGTCCTTGAGCAGGGGATCCTTGCAGGAGTCATCCCCACTTCCACTTTTTTTCTCCTGGCTGCTGAGCATCTCCACATTCAGCCCATCTGACAGAAGAATAATGCTGGAGTCTTGGGCCGTTTGATGGGGTTTGTTGTCGGGCTTCGGCCTAAAGGAAGGAGGCTGCGCTTCCTCTATTGAGGGTCTACTGCAGAGACCGTCAGAGACCGGGGGCGCAGGAGAGGACTGGGTGGATGGACAGTGTCCCGCCTGCTGCTCAGGAGCCATGGCAACAGAAGCCACCGAGGAGGAGTTTAAGTTTAGGGCGGTGTAAGGAGGTGGAGGGGTCGGAGGTCGGTTGACCACCTCTTCATATTCAGGAAGGAGATAGTTTGGTAAAAACCCTAGAGAGAAAAATAGAGGAAATTCAGCTTTGAAATTCAAAAAAAAAAAAAAAACACATACAGGCTGTACACAGGAGCAAAACAATCACCAACATTAAATCAGACCAAAAGTTTGTTTTTGGACAATCTTTGGTTTGTTTACATTCAGATCTTAATTCAGAAGCTTACATCCACTCCCTCAGTGTTTGCCTTCAAACTTTTACGACTTGAGTCACACCTTTTGGGTTTCCTCCTCCAGCTTCTTACACAAGCATGCTGGACATTCTGGCCCATTCCTCCTGACAGAACTGGTGTAACTGGGTCAAGTTTGCAGGTTGCCTCAAATTTTTCCATGCGAATCAGATCAGGGCCGAGTCACGCACCAACAGAGAGTCTTTGTTACCTAAAGCAAACTAATCTGACATTAATAATGTTTGGGCCGAAGCTTTGACATTCTGCCTGATGTCTTGAGATGTTGCTTCAACATTTCAACATGACCTTATTTCATTGTAATGCCGTCTACTTTGTGAAGATCGTCAACAATTCAATTTCAGATTCAGACCACAGGACATCCGTCCAAACATTAAGGCGTTGTTCCTGAGTGAATTTGCAAATTTTAATCTGGCCTTTCATGTTGATTTCAAAGTAATGGCTTCTTCCTTTCTGGGCGGCCTTTCAGCTCACGTTGGCGTTATTTCACTGTGGTACTCGCGCTACCGAAGCAGCTTCAGTCTGTGCTTTAGTTTTAGGGGTTTGCATCAACACATCCTTTCCTTCCTGAACATTTAGTGTGATGACTTCACATTTCTACGGTGTTGGTATTTCTATTTACAGTTGATGAACGTTGCACCATCAGCCTAATAAAAGTTTGTTGCAAAAAAAATAATTCTGGTAACGTCTGCCTCAATATCAGAGAGAGAAATAAATGGCTATTCATCCTTTTATACAAAGCATAAAAACATCTGGCTAAGCTTGACTAAACATTTCTCCTTAAGGCCTCACAGAGCTTTCCAGATCATTACTCCAGCCCTCCCACAGCATCAGGAGGCGTAAAGTGATCGAGTCATTTCTGGATTTTCTTTCCTGCGCTGAAACACGGTCGGAGCAGGTTTTGCAATTCTCGGCGTTCTCTGAAGGCTGGGACATGCAAACAAGTCAAGGTCCTGATGCTGCAGGACCCCCAGGATGGATCTCAGTGCAAACATTATATCTGAGCCAAGCTCCCACTTCGACTTAGAAGACATTTTCTGGTCATTTTCTGGTAAACAAATGAGGAAAACATATCAACAGGCAAGAAAATAACTTTTTTTTTAAGTCAGAGGTGAAGCTACACCCCAACATGTTTAACACAGATACGAAAAGCTTCAAACTATTTCTATACTAATCCACATCAGGGTATCTGCAGGTTTCACCAATGCAAAATTCAAAGACTTTGTGTACTTACGGAAGTAAAAGGGAACTGAGGGGTAGTTGTGTGCTTCCCGGTAGGCGATGAGGTTGATCTCGTGCTGCCGCTGTTGCTGCTGCATTCGGTGTTTTGTGCGCCGATGGTGGCAAATGCAGCAGAAGCACAAAATAAAGATGATTGCCCACACCAACCAAAACCCTAAAAATGGATGGAAAAAAACAAATACCATTTGCTTTAGAAATCCTAATTTCGCTGTTTTGCTTCTCATTTCAAAAATAAAACAGGAAGCGAGTAAAATATGCTTCTGCGCATCCAAATAATACATTAAGAGAAGCAATTCACCTAAAACCTAACATAACGGTTCAAAGCATTCGCATGTAAGAAATAATTTAATTTGGTGGCACAGGTTAAATTTAACTCTAAAAATATACATTCATAATTGTCTGAAAAATCATTTTAATGTGCTTTTAGTAATGCCCTGTCAGCATCTCCAGACTTAAGCTTAAACTACAGCAGGAAGCAGGAGAGAACTTTGTTTACTATGTGTGGGAAATTAACAGATCTCTGTTGTGTCGTCACAGAAAAATGTGAGGAATTTCACTTCAAGGACGAACAAACAAGAAGGCAGACGCAAACAAAAACACACAGAAAACATTAAATTCAGGCTCTGAGAACATGAATCTCTGCATGGGCGTCAAATTGTTGCATAAGCTTTTTAGTAACATTTCATACTGCACTTTTACCGACAAACCAAGAGAAATTTATAGATTAGATAATCCGACAATAAACAGTCTTTTTTGATCCATGATACATTTGTTCTGTTTGCAGAAAGTGGAACGTGAACATTTAGTTTGAGATCCAAAGGACAATTCATCTCAGAACCAAAAGTCCAGCTTAAAACTTTCGTCTAAGAGGCCGCGGAAATTGAAAAAGTCATTTTGTAAGTTAGAAGGTGCATTGATTTGTGCGTTCTGTCAGTACTTTAAAAACCAAAAAATGATCAATGACAAATAACATAAAAGGACAAATATCCAATTATAGATTAAATCCTTTAAATTGGGTTTAATCTATAATTATTAAGAAATAGAACTATTAGCTACCCAATTTCTGTAATAATAGAAAAAAAATGACTTTTCTGCTGTATTTCAACTCACTTCTGAATGAATGTTTTAAAGTGACATCACTTAAGCACACCTTAGTGTTATTAAAAGACAAAACTTCACACTTCAGGCCATGCAACAGTCTCCTGTTTTCACCGAGGTTTCCTAATAGTTTATAAACATAAATGTGTAAAAATAAATGTATTTCTGTCATTTTAGGCTGATCTTTTAAGACTAGGCCAAAGGGGAAAATAGTGACTAATTACACAACACAAACAATACAAGCTGCAGTTTAATGAAGTTGGAAATAAAGGGATCTGATGTGATCGTAAAGACGAAAAGGAAGAAGGTGGAAACTTACACCAGAGCTCATAGTAGTAACTGCAGCACTGGGATTCTCCGCAGCAGTGTCCGTACTCGCAGAAGTAGCTCTGGTTGTTGACGCCATCACAGTGGATCATGCTCTGCAACACAAGGACAGCAGAACATTGTGAAGGGATGTTTTAGCGTAAAATAAGTCATCTTGTCCAGTCGTATCAATTCAGGCCGTGGGTAAAAATGAAACAGCGGCGCAATAAGGGTTCCTTTAAATTTCTCCATTTTCTGGTATTCACCCCTCCGATGTCTACAGGCACTTATGGCTGCTTCCAATGTGCTTGGAGGAAAACAAAGACCAGGTGAGGTGAAGACTGCAGCAACAGTTTGAATAATGAGAAACTACATTTATTAACAGACTAACACAGTTTGCACATTTGAGGTATAAGGATGGATGATTTATGCTTCAGGGGGGAAAAAAACTTATTTGCAAACTAAAACTGCACTAAAATTAAAATTGTCATTGCAATTGCAGTGCTCGCAGTATTGTAATAGGCGAGGACTACTTGACATTTTAATTTTCCACTCTTTCCAGTAATAAGGTATTCATAAATGTTTAAACATGTTTGAACCAACCCAGCCTTACAGAAATGGAAAATAACCAAACTCAAACTTTTTGTTCATAGAAAAAAAAAAAAAAAAGGCTACCAGGAATTATTTCTTCTTGGTTATTTAAGAGCTTTGCAGAATGTTGCTGTATTCTTATAAATAATGTGGTAATAAAAGACCCTGAACATAAACTAAATCATCCAATCCAAGCAAATCCCTGCGCCAGTAGTAATTAAAATCTCTCCTCACATTCCTGAAATATTACATCCAGCAGAAAGGGATGGACGTGCGGTCGCACTGACCTAGACCTTTGACCAGAGAAATCTAATCTGTTGATCCTCGAGTCGAAGGAAAAGCGGACAAATCGGAATAAATTCACTCAAGGTGTTCAACGGATATTCCTTTCATGGGAGGAAAAGGTTGGGAAAGGAGTCTGACAAGAATAAGGTTCTGCTCCCCTGAGTCATTAGGGGTAAAACACAGCTATGTTTTTAAGTGCTAATAAAGACACTGGCAGAAGTTTTCCTTGAGCAAAAACCCACAGTGCTGCTTGTGTTTAGTCATCAATTACCATTACCGCCAATATGTAGTCATATTTTTCCAAGTTCACGCATTACAAAAGTAACAATCAGCTCTGGAAAAATTAAGAAACCACTGCACTGAATCCCACTGAAACCCTGGTGGTTATTCCACCAAATACTGATTTCTGAACTCTTCTTGAGTTAAAACATTAATGTTGTTGTTTCTTGTTTTCTTTGCATTACTCGAGGTCTAAAAACGCTGCATGTTTTCGTTATTTTGACCGTTTCCCATTTTCTGAAAATAAATACAAAATGTTTGCTTGGAATTTCAGAGACATGTTGTCAGGAGAATAAAAGAATAAGGTTCATTTTACAAACTAATCATTTTAAATGGTCTCTTCCCCCCCCCCTTCCCCCCAGAACTGTAATGACTTGTAACGTGATTTTATTTTATTTTTTTTAGCTTTTAGTTGTTTTCTTTGACTTGTTTACGTAAATGTGTTGCTAACATCAAGTCATAAACTACTGATGTACTTAGTGAGTTTCTGCTGCATAAGCCAGGTTAACGGGAGACAGAAAAAGTATTGATTATGCTGGTCACAATGATTCACCTCAGTCACTTGATCTGAAATATAAATATTTAAGAAAAAAAATTCAGCATGACACTAAAGGATAAACTGTATTACTAGGACATTAGTTCAATGGGAAAAATGCCATCACAGCTGTTATTTACTCGTATTTTCTGATTAGCAACAACACAGGATATATATCTATTCTATTGTTATTTCTGAGAAATCTGTTGTGAATGTCTCATTATTAAAAAGGTTGTTTTGGCTTTTCTCTGCCCTCTGGTGCTTTTGCAGTTTTGTTCTTTTCAGATTTGTCTTTTCCCCAAACGTGACGTCTTCCACAGGACATTTTGAACTTAGCCATGCAACAATTCACACCTAGCCTGGGGCCGTAAACCCCCTGCTTTCACATACGGGCAAAACATGCATTTGGGATATTGCTGTTTAACACTGCAGAGGCAATATATGACTAGCCTCCAGTCTCCACAGTCTGTTTACCATCAACACATTGTCCCCAACACTTTTCATGAGTTTGAGTGTTCAAGCCACAAAAATGAGGTGTGGCTGCCACAGGCAGTGAAAGTCCATCCAACAGGGTCAATATTTAAATCTAGAGTACGAATGCATAAAAGTTTTAATACATTTCATACGGCAACACTTTGAAAACAACAGCAATTCTGTACATTTTAAACATCTAATTTAGTGTAATGGTTTTTGGGTTACTTGTTTAATGTAAGCAAGCAGCCTAATGAGGTTTATGTGATTCAATGTTTCTGGACATTATTTCAGTTTGATCAATGAACATAATGCGTCATTACTAATAAGAGCCAACAAGAAGCACCCTGTATATATTACACACAGTGTAATACATCCAGGGTTTCCCCCAGTGTATTATAAGCCTGGTGGCCCACCAGGCTTTACTTGTGCCTCCACCAGGTTGAACATTGATTATTTTTAAACATTAAGTCTTTTTAAAATGTTTGCATTTTTTAAGGCTTTATAGTTGGTGTTCAGATATTAATCTTCCATTCTTTCAATAACACATAATCATCAAGTGATATTTTCAAATTTCCTGTCAACATTAAACATTTTTTAGCTCAAAAACACGACAAGCTGGTGAATGAATGACTGCCCTGGTGCCCAACCACCAGGGTTAGCAAGTTTTCTGGGGTGAACCTTGACATCTATCTATACAGTCTTCAGAAAATATTCAGAAAATTGGAACATGTTATTTATTTTCATAATTAATTCAAATGACATACCTGCTAAGACAAGTAAACTGATGCAACGCTTCAGAACTTGGTTCTGAAATGGTTAGTTTAGGAGCGTGAAACAAGAAACAGAAGAAGGCTGAGAGAAAATAGTAAGACGTAGAGATGGAAATTAGGATGCAAATCAGCAAAAAATATAGAGATACTACTGAATGCTGCAACTATTAAACAGAGTTGGACCAATTATGATGGCAAATGTTGATGACATGTTATATTAAATATTAAAGTCAATCTTCAGAAAATAGCCACAAAATTCTGACAGGCACATCTCCATCTCAAACCTTGAATTTAGAGTTAATAATAATGATTAGAACCCAATAAATGTATTAGCTTTACTCACATTTCACTCTGTAAAAAACAACAAAAAAACAACAAAAAAAAACAATGCTACCACGTACTGTCTGATCGGCCACATGTATCACTGAATTTAAAAGCTTACCCTTCATTAACGTTATTGCAATCTTTTGTGTCTTGGTAAAATATCAAAACTGTTTTACTGCTCGACATTTTTCCTAGTGCAAATCAACTGTTATATCACAGCCAGCACAAGAGCCCTCAGTATGTTGCCCACAATGCAAATACACAATGTGAGCCTAAAACACCAAAGAGCGATCCATTTTAAGGTCATTTTCAGTAGAAATCTTCTAAACTTTTGTCTCCCCTCCATCAGCCTGCTGTATGTTTTCACTGTCAACACAGCGAACTTGCAGCCTGGCCAAAAGTTAACCAAACAGAACCTGTTAATGATACCCATCAAACCTGTGAAAAGCTAGGAAGTCAAAGAAAACAAGACGGGTTAGAAGAGAGGATGCCAAAAAAGCCGTACAGATCATTAAAGAAAGCAATATGCGCTGATGGGCTTTTCTGGGAAAACTTCTTGGACTTTGTCAAGACTTATCTTAATCATTAGTAACCAAAGGTTAAATATAAAGATAAGTTTTAGTTTCTATAGATTACCATCGAAAGTCGCTGACTTAGAGGCATGACGATTCCAGATCCAGACAATCCCTCTTTCACCTAACGGCTCGTTCTCCCCACGGAGGAAAAGTCAAAAAGCTCTTAAGCGTACCCCCCTCTGCTTACCTACCACTGCCTTCTTCGACTCTACCCACCGAAACACTCGCACACGCCCACCCCACTCCAACGCAGCCCAAACAGCCAACAAGGATTGCTTTACGGAAATTTCCAGGCATCGGCTGAGAACAGGCTCCTGGCTGCACCGCTCCATGACAATAAGGTGGTGAGAGGAGTGCGTCGAGTGAAAGACGCATAGAGAGAAACGACAGACAGACATAGGCACAAAAGAGGAATAGTAAATTTTGTACAAGACGCACTGGATGAGAACAAAATTTAACTGCTGACTGTGAAACAGCAACCTGGTTTTAAACCAGATGTTTCGACTTTATCAACACGGCCTACTGAAAAAAAACAAACAAAAAAAAAAACAGACCAGTCTGTGAAAAGATTTAAAGACCACATGACGTTCTGTTCCTCTGTGGCAATAATATCTGTTGTTCTCCTGACTTGGTTGGTATCCTATGTGTCTCAGACTGTCCTCGTTTGGCCTAAAAGAATCTGGTTGGTTCTTGGTTTAAAGTGCCGATCTGAATACTTAAAAATGCTATTAAAATTAGCAAAAAAGCATTCAAATAAATCCTGTGCAATTTTTTTTTTAAACAATTTGTAATTTCCTTCTTTATTTTGGAACAAAAAGGCAGTCCTTCTGTTGCCTGACCTTTGCAGCACAAATAAAAAAAAAGATTTGTAAAACTAAGATTTTTTTTTTTAATCCAGCAAAGAGGACTAGAGAAATGCATCAACCTTCAGGTGACCGATGATAGTTTTTCATTTTCAGCTTGATTCTTGCTGACCAAAGACTCACCTGAAGGTACATCATTTGCTGTCACAACTCCCTTCAATGTGGAAGTTGTTACAAAGTGAAAAGGACCCAGAGATTTTCTGTATCAATAACTTTCCATTAAAGTTTTTTAATTCAAAGTAGCGCACTAGAAAAGGTCGACAGGAATGGCAATATTTGAAATTACTTCCTGAATTTCACAAAAAAAAGGATGTTCTACGCTTGTTTGAGATTTGCTTGAGCGTTTAGGCACCTCAGATGGTTGCCATGGGAGACTGAAGTATCAAAACAACACTCCATGAGGTAATAACATTATAACATGATATAAAGTTATAAAAAGTCAAATTTACATGTTAAGTTTTCTTTTAAACAAAAAACATGGTTTCTTTTGTATCAAAAGGTTTATCTTAAAATTGAATATTAAATGCTTATGACTGTCGTTTAACTAGTCTTGCTGTAGTTAAGCGTTTCCCAATGCTGCAGATGTGTTGAAGTTTCATACAGAAAACAGATCCATAAAAAGACTGAATTTCACTTACGACACTTCTATTATTTTTCGTTTCATAAAACTTCTCCTTTACATTACAGGCAATCAAATAAAAAGTTTTTTAAAATGAAAACTCCATCTTTGCCATTTTCTGTGTCAGTACAGTGTTTCATAACTAAGAGAAAGCAGTGATGTAAGAGCCAAGCTTAAAAAAAAGTGACCACAACCTTATGGTTGGTGCCTCCCTAGTAATCTTTAATGATTTTCATAAATTGTCTCCAAAATGAAGTCAAATAAACATCTATGAGAATAAAAAATAAAGGTGACAAATGGTCCACTTAAAAAACTGGCTGAATAACACCAGGTCAAACTTCAGCTTGGGAGCTTTTGAAACCTGTTTTATGATGAGCCTTTAGAAAAAAAAAGAGTTTTAAAAAAGGAGCAAACTTTCTTAGTAAGACTTTGAGAATCTTTCACAAAGCTTGAAGAAGTGCTGATCAATGCCATGATTTCATAAAAACAGAACTTTGTGTTGCCTTTACGCGAGATCCAGACAAAAAATATAAAAGATCAACTTAAAAAAAAAAAAGAACAAAATAACACTGAGAACAGTCTGTACGGATCAGATTCTCCTGCGTACCCAAACTGTCCACCTCTCTCATTCTTTACAAACAGATTAAGACGCAGATTTGGTTACCATCCCTGAAAATCTTCGCAGCAGAAACATCAACCTAAATGAAAAGCCGCTGAGAACCTAAAAGATGTCTTTGTGACTATGTGATACTGTGTATGAAGAGAGGTGTCTGCAGCTCTTTGTTAAGCCAGACTTCACAGCCACAACTGATCCACTTTCATGTAAGACTATAAGGCAATCAGCCGATGCTCATGGGCCCCTCACCGTACAATTATTTCTTAATCCGATTAGCTGTGAAAGAAAGAGACCTTATTATCATCGTCAAGGTCACTAAGAGAAAGCTCAGATGATGCAATGGATTTGCAGCTTCACTTGAAACCAAAAACACATCTAGACAAGATGCTCAGGAAGAAAGTTGCATGTTAAATTTCCTCTCACATCGTTTATGTCTGCATCTACCGTTTGATTTTAAAACTACATATTAACTGGAAGATGTAGCCATGTCTGAATGACGGTGCTGTAACTCCATACCGACTGTGCATGACGGTGTCAACCACACGGTGAAACTCGTTGCTTCAAACTTCCAAAGCCTCAACTTCTCATTTCAGAAAATGGTATCACACTTCGTGGAAATTTGATTCCCCGAATACATATAATTAAAAATACTTCAAAATATGTTGGGGTTTTTTTTAAGTCTGATTACAATTACTTTGTGTCCGAGTACACAAAGTGACAACGGCACTCTATGTCTAACAAATTGTTGGGACAATCTCTATTATGTTGTGTAGGTTTTGTTGGAAGGACCATTGTGTTTTATTAAAATGAACAATGGCTGAAAACAGTCATTACAGACAACAGGCAGAAAAACAGCAGGAAAAATGGTTTGCATTATGAAAGAAGCCAGTGGAGATC